GAAAATCTACGGTGGGAGACCTTGTACTGAGAAGAACCGGCAAGAAACTCAGCAGCTGTTTTTTTCTCCCTGTATTATATACAGTCGTCAAAAATGACTTCAATATGAAGTCACTAATGAAGTCACTTTCCATTACAAATGGAAATAATATAAAAATAGTGATTATTAAATAAAAAAATATCATATATATAAAGGATAAACGGAACTATAGAAAGTGTGTGAGTCCGAAGGAAGATGGATGACTGTCCTACACATCCAGGGTAGATTGCTTCACTAGGAAGTAATCCCGAGTTTTATCGCTAAAGACCGACAATCGTAAATTTGCAATAACGGCGTCAAACACTGAATGAAGCACCACGTACTTTGAGCTGAGTAGACGGCTTCTTGGACGTCGGCGGCATCAGGTCAAGAAAGTTGTGAAACTGGAGGAATCTGGTGTCCGCTCGCGGGTTTCTCACTGTAGTTGTTCGTGGTAGCCTTGTCAGTATTGAGTAGCAAGATTCTTCGACAACGGACGCGAAGTATAACGACTTAGTCTATTATATTAAGCCCACGGTGCCACTACGTCTAGTAACTTGCACCACACGTTCAATCTAAGCGTACTGCGATGTTATTCCCGATCACAGCGCCGACAGCCGCGTAACAAACAAGTAATTGATTTGCTATTGCCCACCCTCGCCGATATCGTTATTATTCGTTCTGCCATTGATTGATATGAATATGATAGAAATTGTTTCTGATCAATCGTTCAATTTACAAGGCATTGCCATTCGTATATGATACAATTTCAGGGATATTTCACATTTGGTAATAGGGATGATGGCAATCTTTTTTTTCCTTCGTCTATCAGGTAGATTATCAAAAAGTATTGGACACGTATTTTCTCTTTATTCGCATTATTAAACCCTCTTGAAGATATATTGATTTAAAATGTCGCATGACGTCACGTATTGGTACAATTTTTACTTAAAAATTGCGTCACGAGCTCCCACTCCCAAACTTTGACACGCTTTATCTTTGTTATTTATTGGTTGATTTACAAAATAAAATAATACGTGTCCATTATTTTTTGATGATATAACTGCCGGACTAAATATAATTTTCTTCAGTTCAGCCCGTCATCATCCTCATTTGATTGAGTTATAGGAGTAATACAAATGTTTGTGACACCTCGTACCATCTTCTTTGGAAATAATTTTTTTCTTAGGTTTATTTGCAATCAGCTCCTAGCTTTCAGCAAATGCGTTGGAAATAGTGTTTTTTTTGTCGTACAATGAGTGTGCCCTCCAGAGAGAATATCTCCTCTTTACTCGTTGTCCCTAAAGAGAAGATATCTTCCCGCTTAATGCGAATAAAATAGCAGCAATGGAAAAATATGGGATTATTATTTAATTACTAGCGGCCGCCGCGATTTCACGTTACTTAACGCGGTTAACTTTAGTTTTTTTTAAACCCCGCAGGAACCTATCACTTTTCCAGGATAAAAAGTATCCTATGTCTCAATCCAGCCATAAACTATATGAATGCGGAGTCGTGGTAGAATTCCTAAACGGGGACCCCGCGGCTTCGCATTAAGCAGTGTAGAAGGTATTCGCAGGACGTTTTTAGCGGATATTATGCCGTAAAGCGCCCGTAAGAGCTGCGGGGTCCTCGGTGGGCAGCCACTGGGGGGTCCGTAAGACTTGCGGGAGCCAGGTGTGAGGTCCGTTCGGCGGCGTGCCTCTTAAAGGTGCCGTCGCATTTTTTACCTGCGTTATAAAAAAAAGGCCATAAATTATATGCGTACCAAATATCATCAAAATCCTTTCAGTAGTATTGGCGTGATTTAGTAACAAACATATAAACTTTCACATTTATAATACTAGTATCATAATAATATACTGTGAGATATCAATAAAGGGTTACTGTTTTTTTAAGAAATTCATACTGAACTAAGTGTTACAATATGAAATGAACTTTGACGACGTAGCACACAGTGTGTGTAGTTGCTACGAGGTTCAATTTAAGATTCTTAATTTTTATACCTCCTACATTTTCTTATATAGAAATCAATTTTATAATCCCTTAATAGTGACCCATAGATCTTTGAAGATTGCTCGTCTACAATTATACCACGCCTCAAGTATTTCACACATATTTTCAACGTTGACCAAAGATGAAAAAAATTTATGTCCAATTATTTTCTCAGATCACACTTTCAACCTCGCTTGGCTTTGTAAACAAAGAATCATACAAGTTCCATCCAATTATCGCTTAACCGCAGTGGGTAATGCGACACGCACTGTAGAGGGCGCTCGAGTCGACTCGTCACTAACAACGCCTAGCGACTAATTGTCGACTAACGACTTTGCACCAGCCACAGTAAAGGAGACACAGAGTCAAATTTTTACACAATTGCGCGTGTGTGAGTGAGCACTGGCCTATCGGTTACGTGAAGGCGCGTCTGCTGCGCCATGTTTTGAACAGAACATTGTTTGTTCAATACATTTAACGTACGCTGCGACTTTAGCAATGGATAAGAAGCAGTCGACCGTAGCCGCTAGCCGTAGTGTCCCCTGCGTCTGCAGCTCATCCCTGACTTGTACCTTTACTGTACCTTTGGCTATTGCGGCACCAGGCCACATAATATACATACATCATCATCAGCCTATTAATGTCCCTATTGCTGGGACACATGCCTTCCCAATGGATGGAATAGGGAGATTGGGCCATGACCCACTACACGGGCCGAGTGCCAATTCGTGGGTACTACCGACTGCAAACCAGCCGGGACCAAAGGCTTAACGTGCCTTCCGAAGCACGGAGGAACTTGAGATAGTAAATTTTTTGTCACCCATCCAATGACAGCCCACTGCAAAAGTTGCTTAATTTCAACGATCGCAGCCGAACGCGCTTACTATACCACTTGCGCCATCGAGCTCCTCAATATATATATATATCAGAAGGTAATCTCATGTATATGTACTTCACTTTGCATACCTACCCTCGGCGGTCGCGCTAGGATTGTCAACATTCGCTTATGTTAAAAATACTATCGCGGTAGCGGCACTCGTATCTATTTATTTCATTAAATGTCGATAATGAAACAGAAAGAACGGCAATATAAACTAATATTAATTAAAATAATTCAAATACAATGTTGTTATATTACAAATAATAAAAAATGACAATTGATTGCTTAATGTTGAATCCAATCAATCGTCTACCGAACAGATATATTAACTTGATTTTTTGTTCCTTCATTTTAGACTAACAAAGTTCACAGTCGTGTCTCAAGCGGGCGGACCTTGCGCTCGCAGTGGTCTGAACTGGTTCGATATATCGTGTCTGTGAGAGGTGTTTGTGTGTACGTAACTCGAGCAAATTTTGTATGTAGATTACCTTCTGTTATGTTTTTTTTCGTGGCCAGGACGTCGTGCTTGTTCACACACGTAGACTGTGTGAAACTTTGCCTCTATGATTTCTTAACTCATATGCCACATGTGACAGGTCTGGAGAAGTCTAACGCTAGAAGAAACAACTCGCTAATGGGCAAATCGCTAAGATTCACATATACTTCTGTCTACTGCCAACTTTTATCACAGAGAGAGACTAGCACGCTTTTAAAGGTTCCTTACCTAAAGAATAAAAACGGGACCCTATTACTAAAACTCCACAGCCCGTCTTTCTGTCTGTCACCAAGCTCTATCTTATGAGCTGTGATAGCTAGACAGAGAGTTGAATGTATTTCCGTTGCCGCTATTTCAACAGGTACAAAATACTAAATAAAATAAATATTTAAGGGGGCCTCCACACAACAAACGTGTTTTCTTTTATGTGTTTTTGGTCTGTATTAGAAAAGACAATAGGTTGAAATATTCATAGAATATCCAGTTGTGTATGCACTTTAAAAATTAATAAAATAATTAAAATAAAAAAAATATGGGGACTGTCATAGAAAAAAATTACGTATGTTGTATAGAGGATGGGAACAAACCACGAAAGCAAAAATGATTTGTTTGTTTTCGTCACAACTAACACAATACATTATGAATCGGGGTTTCAGTATTTTTTGTTTAAATACGGCATATATGGGACGTCATATACCGAAATTCGACATTCGTTTAGTTTCGAAATTGTGGTAACAAAAATGAAAACTTTGACGGATGCCATTTCTTTATGATTGAAAAATATATTTAAAACAAAAAAGAAAAGACAAGTGCGGGTCGAACTCACGCGCGACGGGTTCCGTGCCACTATTTAGGTGTACAACATTAGACACCAATTTTAATATCGCAAAAACGGAAAATAAGCAATTATGTCTATTATATGGTTAATAAATATTGAATGGGGGTTTAAATCTTTATTTAATATTAATTTGATTATTTAAAATAAATAGTCTCTGAGTATTTCAAGTGTCTACCTGTTGCCGTTATTAGTTTAGAGCAAAATACGGCAAAAATCAGGTTTGTTATATGGGGGACCCTTAAATAATTATTTTAGGGGACTCCTTAGTATTTATCTTTATAGCGGCAACAGAAATACAAAATCTGCGAAAATTGCAACGATCTAGCAACACGGTTCATGAGAGACAGCCTTAGTAAAAGGGGCACGTTTTTACCGTTTGGGTACGGAACCCTAATAAAAATTATGTTTATATCCTACTCACCGAGCTATAAATAATGATGTATCACATTTTCGGGTAAAAAAAAGAATAATCGTCTCCTTTTCATGTATGTAGATGTATGTGTGATGCCATGAAAAATAATTTAATTGAATATTTAACTAAATATTCGGTTTTTGGCAGGCATTCTACATGAAATACAAAATTTTCTTCTCCCATTCTTCTTACGATTTTACGATGAACTCATTTTTCTTACGATCCAGAAACCCGTGACATACGGACAGACGGAAAACAGGGTGACAGCAATAGGGTTCCGTCTCTACCCTTTGGGCACGGAAGACTAAAATGGAATCCTAAGAATATATTTGAAATTCAACCCGATTTATCATTGTTACAGGTACACAAAGACTTTTTCGGACGCATCGTTCCACTGTCGCAAGTACAACGTTCAGGTATTTTATTCACATATCTCATCTTCATAAGTGTTCTTGTATAATATTTATTTATTTATGTAATGTATATAGAATTTCCGCTCGAGTTTGAAGTAACCTTCACCAGAGTAGAGTTACGTGCCGCGACCTGTTACGATACGCCGACGTCGCATTCACGCTGAGTACCGTTACACTCTTGCTTGTTGTCAGTGTTGCAAAGTGAAAATTTAAAAATCGGGTAAAATTTCTTGTATTAATCGGGAGAAATCGGGAGATTTTTTGGCAAAATAATACAACAGTATTTTAAGCTACTAATTAAAATAAATTATTAAAAACATAACAAGGTAAAGTGATTGCTAAATATTCATTTTCTTACCACTTCTCTCACAGTCATCTCGGTACAGTACAGTAGATACGCCAAACAACCCGAAGAAATTCTTCATCAAACAATAATAAACTCTATTATAGGGCATTTGGGTGTAATATATTTTGTGTGTTTTGAGAGTTTGACAGGCTACTTAAGATTTTTGGGAAACCCCTTGCCAAAGAGAATATAATTTTTACCTACTCGTGAATTGGTTTAGTGTGACCAGGTCACTTTCGCTGTTGTCGTCTTTAGAATGCTAAATAATACTATATTTAATCGATACTTAAGTATACAATGTAAAAATCGGGAGACAGGGTCGCTAAATCGGGATATCGGGAGGGAAAAGCAAAAATCAGTAGATCTCCCTATTAATCGGGAACCTTTGCATCACTGCTTGTTGTATTCACGGCTGGCGCGACGCTGGAGGGATGCGACACGCCGGCCGCAACAGCGCTGTGTGACGTGTTACATAATAACTGATACATTACAACTGTTTTTATCGCGCCAGCCAGCGTCGCGTTGCCGTCCCGCCCCGCTCTCTGTCTCCCCAAACCTTAACCGCAAAACGAAGCTATTACTACTTATTTGCGTCACTAATCACCGTCCCAACTGAACCGAAGAAGTGTTACATCAATACAAGTACAACAATCGCACAAATTGCTCCCGACTATGATCGTGTAACGTTAATCACACGTCGAGTTACGCGCGGCCTATTATTTTCAATTACCAGTACCCCACTCGAAAGGGTTGTTAATATTCATTCCGGTGCCTCCCGGGAACAAAACACCTGATCTCTCCACCCCACATCGCACCGCCTCGCCGATTGCCTAACGTTCTGATATTAATCGCGTATAATTTCGTTGCGACCAGGCTGTTTTAATAGAAATTCCCGAATTGTGTTTTGTTAACTAAGGATTAGGTTAGACGTGGCCGTTTTTTTGAAGATAACTTATATTAATAAAATACATTAAAGTATAGCTTATAAGCTCTTTCAGTTTCAATTCTCGATTTATGTTAGGACTGCCTAAATAGATGAAATTTACAAAACGACTCCCAGTAGCATGAGGACCACAATTTACTTATATCACGGTTTTTATCGCGTCTAAAGCCTCGATGACACGGCGCGAGTTTACAAGCTACAAGCCAGCGAGTTCGTTAGTAGCTTGTAGACTCGCCCCGTATCGAAGCTTAACTATATAACTACATAGTAATTTGACAATTGAGTGTGATAACAACGCGTTATATATCATATCGCGGTGCTCATGCTAGGGGGCAGGAGTTTCTCTCGTTTTATAAATAACATCAGGAATGAGCTATTTGACTACAGTTTGTAATCATCATTAGCCTATTAATGTCCCCACTGCAGGGTAAAAGGCCTTATTAAGAATGGATTAGTTGGTTTGGGCCGGGACCCACCACGCGGGTACATTTCGGAATAGTGGGTGTTAACGACTGTTGATACTGCCGGGATCAAAGGCTTGACATGCCTTCCGAATCACGGAGGAGCTCGTGATAATAAGTTTTTGGTCACCCATCCAATGACCGACCACTGCGAAAGTTGCTTAACTTTCACGATCGCAAGCCGAATGCGCTAACCACCTGTGTCATCGAGCTGCTCCTCTTTTTGTAAGTAAGGAAATAATTACGCTAACGGCGTCAATAATTACGCAAAAACCAATTAGAACAAAAAATCTGTCAATTCACAGGCTCAAGACTATTTAAACAAAAAAAAACTGTAAAGTAAAACCTAACAAGAACGTGATCAGCCCATAAAAGTCTAGATAAGAATACATTTTTAAATCGTAAATATTAAGTTCCAAAGAAAGCCTCAGTGCTGAGTGCACTTTCATTTAATTTTCCCAAGTTACTAACATCTGTCTTATCACTGACTTGATATTGAATTAATAGTTCGCCGGGTCAGCGAGTTTTATATAAATAATATGTCCCTTAAAGAGTCAATAATACTCGTTTACACCAAGATATAATACATGTTAAATACATTTTATACAATGCCTTAATATTTTTTACACTTACATACATCTGTAAAACATGTAGTATACAATACTTGCATCAAACTTGTTGGATAAACAAAATATGTGAAGTAGATAAGTGATTTATACTTGTAAGATGAGGAACCCGATGGTGCGGGTGGTTAGATAGTTCGGGTGCGATCGTTGAAGTTAAGCAACTTTCGCAGTGGTCGGTCATTGGATGGGTGACCAAAAATCTTCTATCTCGAGTTCCTTCGTCCTTCGGAAGGTACGTTAAGCCGTTGGTCCCGGCTCCATCTGCTGTCGTTAGCACCCGCCAATCCGTACTGGGCCCGCGTGGGTGGGTCATGACCCAATCTCTCTATTCCATCCATAGGGAAGGTCTGTGCCCTAGCAGTAGGGACATGTATAGGCTGATGATGATGATGACTTGTAAGATACTAAGTTGTCTTTGCAGTGTAAACGAAACAATGTTTTAAACAGTCACAACAAGTAATCTACAAGTTTTGTTTAAAACTAGTATGTGACTTGTTTCTTGGTGGAAACAAGGGTTTACGGGTGTACAAAAACTGTAGGCATATAACAATTGTAGGTATTTATAAAGTAGTCGAAGCTCGCACATATAAACATCCCCTTATGTAAAGTCCGCCCCCGCTCCTCCACAATTCTCGTTAAGGTGACTGTTTAATAATCTCAACGCGATTTCTAATGGGATTGAGTGGAAATTCACTCGCCGTCTCTGAATCCATATTGTTATACCCCGGTACGGACAGAAGAACAAATCGTTTTAATTTTATTTGATTTAAAGTACTTATTTGTTTAAAGTACAGCTTTATACCAGTAAGTTTATCTTTAAATGATTTTGGTTCTAAATGCTTCTAAACAATATCGCGATACTAAATATATAGTTGAGGTTATTAACAATTCCGAACTCTTTTTGTATAAAAGATTTGAGTGCATTTGATCACAATCGTGCCTGATGTTAAGCAATGAATATTGTCTAACGTGAAGCACGCAAACTCAAATAATGCCTATTTATTCTTGAAGATATAAAATTGAAGATCCGTATATTATATGGACCTGGGAATACAGACATAACTCATATTTATTTATATTTCATTACCGCTCTAAAGGCACCTAAAACGGCAAAAGTTATAAACAAGATAGAAATAAGAAGCTGGCGAACAAAACGGTATAATTACATAGAATTAAATTTTACAGGAGCTGTATAAAACTAAATGACATAGCTCCAGTGAGCTTTTGGCATGGTTTTTAATAATAATTTTAACACTGTTTTGGGTGGTTTTGATTGAAAATTATTTGAGATTCAAATACAACGAGCCCGAAACCCCTGGACTGTAAAAAAAAAGTTTGATCAGATGCGTAATAATACCGTTTTGTTCGCCAGCTCCTTCGATGCTACGGACGTAGCAAGCAACCTGTACTGTAGCACCTGTATAGGTGTCGTAGCTAAAGCAATTGCAGATGTTACAAATTCATTATCTTTTCATAAATTTCTTGAATACTGTTGACATGTGAGATTATTTTGTGTCATGTACCTTTAACACTTAACACAAAAGTTACAAATATGGGAAATATTATAATACATACAGTTAACAATTTACAATAGCCAAACACTTTGTAGCCAATTAGAAATTTACACTGCGTTTCGGTGGACCGCCAATTTTATTTATTTATAACAATAAATCAAGCTGACAGTAAACAACTTGAATTATACCAGACACTTTAACGTGTGTGATAGAAATACCGTTACTTATGCTTTTCAATTTTATATAGTAACTAGCGCTCGACCGCGACTTCCTATCAGAAAGAAACCTAGAACCTATAATATTTTCGGGATAAAAGGTATCCTATGTCTCGATCCTTATAAACTAAATGCGTACTAAATTTCTTCCAAACCAGTCCAGTAGTTTTGCATGCTTAAGTACAAACATACAAACTTCCAAATTTCAAATTCATTATATTAAGCCGATGACACGGGGCGAGTTTACAAGCTACAAACCAGCGAGTTCGCTAGTAGCTTGTAAACTCGCCCCGTATCATCGAGTAGCAGATGGTAAAAAAGCCGATGACACGGGGCAAGTTTACAAACTGTAAACCGGCCCCGTGTCATTGAGGCTTTAGTGGGATAGACCTAGCTGTCAGTAAACAGATTGAATAGGGGTGATGACGGGGTACAGTAAACGAAATTCTATTTAGTCCGTCAGTTAGATGATCAAAAAATAATGGACACGTATTTTTTCTTTGAGCAATCAACCAAAAAATTACAAAGTTATAGCGCGTCAAAGTTTGGGAGTAGGGGCTTGTGACGTCACTTTTGAGTGAATTTTCACTTAAAAGTGTATTCAAACGTCCATGACGGGACTTTTTAAATCAATATATCTCTGCAATGTTTATATTATGTGAAAAAAGAAAAAATACGTGTCCAATACTTTTTGATAACGTACCTGATAAACGAAGAAAAAAAATAGTCATCATCCCTATTATACCAGATACTATTTTGCGCGTGTCAAAAAAAAATTACATGACTTCAGCGTTAAATAAAAAATTGAGTGAAATACAACTGAGTGGCTGACGGTACATCGGGCGGCGCAAGTTATAATGAAGCGGGTTGTTTAAACTAATTGTTGAATGGGAGCCCGCGCGCGCGCCCGCTGCCGGCGGCGGCGAGAAATCGACTTTGCTGTTTGATTTCACTGATAGTTCGCGACGGCATTGTCCCTTCTCATCCCTCATTATTGAGCTAGCAACCGTAATGGACTTAATCAATTGTAATAAATCATCAGAAAATACTTATGTAAATACTTATCAGAAAAGTCTAAGCGACATGTTGTACGGTGTATTGTTTTAAACTGTTATGTTATTTACGGGACTCCGTGATCATGGCGTTTGCAACAGTGCCGTAATATAGAAAACTCCCTTAAAAACAAGAACATGTTAATAATCCCGTAAATAATATGAATTACTGTAATATTGTACGGTTTTGTACTTAGTAGTAGTACGGCGGGCTAATTCCGCAACTCGACATCAAGTGCCTATTTTGCGTAGAAAAAACGGTTTTTAACTTTTGAACGATTTTAACTACCTATTGTAATATTTTTATTTAATACTATTATAAACCCAGAGGAAAAGTTTCTATTTTTTAAATCAGCCAGCTATATTTTCGAGAACACAAAATATTATATACCAATCTACTTTCTAAGAAAAAATACATAAACTAATAATTCATACAATTTCTGTATATTGTTCCGTGTAGCTTCGACTTTTTTGATGTGGGTATTATCGTACGAAATTGTTTACAAAGTTAAGGATACCTATTTCGATCTAAGTCTGTAACGGAAGTGTTCTTCTTCTATAAAGTACTTCGCGTGCCAGAAGGGAGCCCAATATGGTCATTATTTTACGCTAATTTATTTCTTCGCATCACAGTTCGCGTCACCGGAGGGTAATCGTAAAATTTAAAAAAGGTGAGAGACGAACTTCTTAGCTATCTATGGATTCGCCGTGCAGGTGCAGGGTCCTTAGTGCAGAAGAGAGAGAAACTCTGAGCAGTTCTCGGGACTTGTGACCCAGGTGTAGGTTTAAAGAGGCCATCTTTGAGATGCGTATCAACGCTCGAGTGGCCCGCCCTTCCTACTCAAATTTGATAGGAGCCTGTTAGTGCAGCCTTAGTTACTCATTCCAAAATTGAACTGCCTGCAGTTCTCGACTGGCCGAGGTCTTTCGAGGAGAAGGCTATCTAGAGATTTTACTGGTAAACCTCTCGCTACTATGTCATACTAAGCTGTAACAACGATATAATTGAAATACGTGAGCAGCGTCCATGCTTTTCACCACTTTTAATTAGTTCTCGTGAGTACTCCCAAATCTGACACTCTCGGTCTCCATACGATTTGAAGTACATACGGCGTTTACTTCAATCCAGATGAATGATGAATCCCAGATTCATCATCATCAAGCCTATTAATGTTCCCACTGCTGGGGCACAGGCCTTCCCTATGGATGGAATGGGGAGATAGGGCCATGACCCACCACGCGGGCCCAGTGCGGATTGGTGGGTGCTAACGACTGCAGATGTAGCCGGGACCAACGGCTTAACGTGCCTTCTGAAGCACGAAGGAGCTCGAGATAGTAATTTTTGGTCATCCATCCAATAACCGCCCGCTACGAAAGTTGCTTAACTTTAACGATTGCAGCCGAACGCGCTAACCACCCGCGATATTGAGTTCCTCCAAAAAAATTAACATTCGTGGAATCAGTTGTACCTGTTATGTTCTGCTTATTCCTTAATGTCTATTCAGCGTGAAGCTCGTTTTGAGATCACTTCCATCCAACGTTAAATAGCTACAAACCAATATAATTACCGCCACACAACACATGCGAGTTACGTTCATATATTACTTTGTAATTGTGAATACTGTACTGTAATTGAAATGTACTGCACCGTCGACCGTCCGCACGCATCTGGGTCCTGAGTAATCGCACACCTACATTATAAAGTTTGTGTCGCCAACACTGAAAATTTATTACGATTATTTATGGTTTTAAAACAGTTTGCTTAAGCAAAATTGTCTCGATCCGAATTGTGCTGTTAATTGATGCGACATATAAATGTGTAACATAATCAAAAACTTACTATCTCGATCTCTCGCTTGCTTGCAAATATCCCTTGCTTCGAAAACTCTCCCGTGCTTCGAAAAACTCTCCCTTGCTTCGAAAGGCGGTCACCATAGTCTATGTGTAGACACTTGCTCTACCAAAATACAGTGTGTAAAAAAACCTATGAAAAAGACTTAAACTACGCATTCTGTACACCCAAACAAATCATATAAACAAATATTATAGGTGGGGAAAATTTTTTTTAAAGTTAAAAAAATACATATTTTTTCCAGTACGCAATGTTTAGCGCGGCGCGCTACTGTGGCGCTACGCAAAGAATGTGCCTGTGTATGTATATGTGTGCGTGTGTCTAAGTGCGTCGATAAAAAAGTTTCTAAATAACGTTTTGAAAATATTAATGTATAAATCTTGAAAAAAATGTTTTGGCTTTGACCTTCAATATCTCCAAAACCATAAATTTCTCAGGTGAGGTGATGATGATCCAGAAGAAAAAATGATCGTCATGATGTGGAAAATACGTGGCCTTCGACTTCGTTATAGGTTTTTTTACACCCTGTATTACTCGCACCGTTACCGCGTCAAGCCCAGGAACACTACTCACCGTCAGAAACGCAAATCCACCAAAATGTAGTGTTTTTTTACTGTGATCTTCTGTGAGGTGGAGGTTACTTTCCCAAACGGTATGCAGTCTTTAGCTCCCATTAATTCGCAATAAAACTTGCATAGATTTACTAAGTCCTCCGTCCATAACTAAGGTCTCTGCCTTATCAGTGAGGGTAGTAATAGGCTAAAAGGTGATGCAGCTTGGAAATTGGATGCCAAATCAAAGTCTAATCAATTCAAAACAATTATTTGGCACAGATAAAGACACGTGAGATATGGATACTTTTTAAATTAAAGTTGAGAACAACACAAAAGATAGAATAGACTTTATTTTGTATGCGAGTATAGTTCACACAAGTTGCTTTTATCCAAAATTGCTCCAAAAAGTGCCCAGTCCAGACACAACAGGCATAGAGAATGGGACACGCTCTAGAAAGAGAGAAAGCGAATAGAATAGAATACTCTTTATTTGCATTAAATAGGGTTGACAAAGGGTGTTTTGCATATAAAGCATATGTTAAAAGTAAAAGCTGAGAATCTTCAACCTATTTAGCCATATAATCATTGCATCATTTAATATTAGCATGCAAAAAAATCTAACATATTAAAACATAACAGTCATATTACAGTATTCTCATTTTACCTACCATGCAATAGGGATGACGACTAACTTTTTTTTCTTCGTGTATAAGGTAGATTATTAGAAAGTATTGGACACGTATTTTTTCTTGTTTCACATAAGCAAAACATTACAGACATATATTGATTTGAAATATCGCATGACGTCACGTTTAGATACAATTTTTACTTAAAAGTGACGTCACGCGCCCCTACTCCCAAACTTTGACACGCTTTATCATTGTAATTTTTTGGTTGATTTCCCAAAGAAAAAATACGTGTCCATTATTTTTTTAAAATCTAACTGACTGACTAAATAGAATTTCGTTTACTTTACCCCGTCCTCACCCCTATGGTCCAGTCCAGCTTTCCCACACTTTTCTGTCCATTTCTTCCCCAGTTGGGCACGCAAGTTCAGTCCATTAAATGTGTTATGGTTTACTGTTACGGTTTTCGAATTGACCATTTTCCTGACACGATTACGGTTTGGTGTGCCATTGTTTCACTTGTTCCATTTATTACAGACGCGGTACCCGACGTGATATCATCTGCTAACGTGTTTTACCAGTACCGGGAGGGGTTTAACAACGCAGTGCGCAGAAACGTAAGGATGCGTGACTTATTATAACCATAATGGTTAAATCTACTAATCAAGCCAAGGAAAACTTTTTGGTTTTGCCTTAGTTTAAAACAAAAAGGGAAGATACGGCACTCGCGGGTCAAAAGTGATCCGCTTAAATTGTGGTGCATGACCACAATTCGCTTTAGTCACAATTGGACATCCAAACACACGATGCATGTGCACTCAATATAACAAGATTGCGTATGTTCTGTGTTATAAAGATAATAATGCGTTCGATGCTTTTATAAAGAACACAAATAGTTCAAGATCAAATAATGACCAAATAGTTACTGATTCGTCATTTCTTATCAAGAAAAGGACAACAATACAACTCAGCCGTCTGGAGAGAGGTAAAAGAAAACGCAGTCGGCTGTAAAGCGACGCGGACTCGCGCCGTTTCGCTCGCGCAGCGTTGAAGCGTACAATTCTGTCTCGCTCGCTCAATTAAATGTTTATTTACAGAAGTGTGCGTGTGTGAGAGTTGCTTTCATATTTTATATGATGCTAGTATGAGCGTACCGTATCATCCCTTATAGTTTTAAGAGTTTTACCATAATAAGTTAGACAATGAGGTCTCCCCCTTTAGGCGCGTTACTATCGGTCGATAATGCCGGATGCGTAATTTCGATATCTGTTCTTAGTACATTATGTATGTGAACGGCTACACACTACTGCGATAATAACGACGCAATACGACGATATAACACGCCTATGGGCGGAAGGTTTAACTGTGTTTTGCCAATTTTTTATGGCATTTTGTTCTTAATCTCATGTTGAAAGCCTGACGTAACGTTTTTGCGGTACGGCTGATAACTTTTAAATTTTAGCTTTATATAATTCTTGTATGTTACCTGTTAGTTTAACAATTAATAAACGATATTTCTAATGTTTTAAAAACTTATTTTTTACGTTTATTGTACTCTATTTTTTAACGTTTACCTTTAACTGTATCCTCATATGGTTTTACAAAAAAAAATCAGGTGTTTTAAACTTTAATGTTCACTAACATAGTAATGTAAGTTATTTACGGGATTGTCAGTAACTTCGTGATCATGGCGCTTGCAACAGTGCCGAAATATCGGAAACTCGCTTAAAACAAGGTACACGGTATAAATCCCGTAAATAACTTATATTACTATTAAGTGCAGGTGGTCATAGAACTCGGGAGTTGAAATTGTGTAAAAATTAAAAATACAAGTAGGAGTTTTACAATCTGTTAAGTGTTTTTAAGTTTAGGATCGAAAGCTCATATTAATTTGTCTATAAACTCGTGTCTTATCAACGTTGTCACAGATAAACACTGATGTTGGCTGATAGCTATTTACTATACAAAAAGATCTACTTAAAAACGTTTTGTATGGCATCTAAGCATTTAAGTGCAGGTGGTCATAGAACCCGGAGTTGAAATTGTGTACAAATTAAAATACAAGTAGGAGTTTTAAAATCTGTTAAGTGTTTTTAAGTTTAGGATCGAAAGCTCATAGGAATTTGTCTATAAACTTGTGTGTTATCAACTTTGTCACAGACAGATAAACACTGATGGTGGCTGATGGCTATTTACTATACTACAAGATCTACTTAAAAACGTGTTTTGTATGGAATCTAAGCATCATACGAATGCAGTTTTGTTACATAAAAATAGAACTGAGAAAAAAAATAAACAAAAAGTGATCGCTACCGTATCACAATGATTATATATAACCCACGTGAATTTCAATCAAGAAGTGCTTGAACTCAACTCAAGCACTTCTCAAGCTTTTAATTTCAGTTTAGTAGACTGAATTCTGACTGTATTCTAATAAGACGCGATAAATATTGGTATTTCAGATCACATTACCACGATTTAGTGGTTGTAAAATTGTTACAAGAAACAACGTGAATTTTGATACATTGTTTTGATACAAAACAGTAATTGTAGGTTTATCTTGTTAAGTATCGAATGTTGTTAGGAATATAAGCTCATTTTATATTTATTAATAAAAATATATATTGCATAAACGATGTGTTTTTGTAACCCCTAAAATGTCGAATGCTTCAATTACTATCACCCTAAGCTGTGATTAGCTTATATATTATTCTGTAACAACTCTTTTTTAGGCGACCCGTCACTAAAACATAGTATACTCACTAATCTAATCATGAGGACCTCCGTGGCAAAGTGGTTTGTACGCCGGGTTTCTAGGTGTCGCCTACTCGAGAGGTCCCAGGTTCGAATCCCAGTGGGAGCAGATGTTTGTGTGGTACATACGAGCACTCGTACTCCAGTGATTATTTACTTCTAGATAGAACGTGGCAGCGCAGATGACTTTGAAAAAAATATGAGTCGACTGCTAAGTCGTTTCCCGTCACTTTAGTGTTCAATGTAACGTTGAGCGATACTAAGATAATTACAGAGTTTTTGTTGAAATTATTGCTTTGTAATGCCGAGATGCGCGATAAAAGTTTGTCGAAATTATAAACGACGCATAAAAACAACCCACAAAGTCACTTACCATCGCTAAGTAACTCATTATTCACCTTAAAAAAAACTATATCATCATATTAGTTAAAAAAATTACGACTTCATCTTGACATTTGCAAAGTGATGTCAGTGTCTCATTACAAAATTCCCCAAAAAAGTAAGTATGGCGTAATAAAAAAATTACCCATTGCAGCAGTACGATTCAGATGGTTTTTTTTAAATCGATATAATTTTAATTGTCTCGAAAACTGGACGGAATACCAAAAATTGTATCGATTTTTGAAAAGTCTCGTACCCATGGACATACTACACTTCTGGACACATCTATTGGCCCACCTTAGAGTTTAGGTTTCGATGGCCCCTACCGAAATATGATTGCTAGATTGAATAAAAATAAAATTTAGTTTAATTTAATAACGCGTGTTGCCTCCATGGGCATCTACCACAGCTCTCATACGATTAGGCATAGAGTTTATCAACCGCTCTATGAAATTTTGAGGGATCATCTCCCATTCCTCTTCTATGGCAGTTTTCAACTCCTGCATCGTCTGGGCAACTGGCTGACGAGCCCTAACACGTCTTTTTAGCTCGTCCCACATGTGCTCAATGGGGTTCATGTCTGGGCTTCTGGCTGGCTAGTCCATTACTGTGATGTTCACATCCCGAAGATATTCCCTGACGATGCCGGCCGCATGGGCTCTTGCATTATCATGCATAAAAAGGAAATTTGGGCCCACATAGTCCGCGTATGGTATCACGTGAGGTTCTAAGCACTCACGAATGTACCTTTCAGCATTTAATGTTGGCAGCCGTGGTCCTGTAACAACCTCAAGTTGAGTTTTGTCGCTCGCGGATATACCGCCCCAGACAGTCCATGAGCCACCGCCATAAGCAACCCTCTCTTCAAAGCAGCATTGTGCGAAACGCTCTCCTTTACGTCGGTAGACCTTCTTCCTTCCATCATTGCCATGTAACACAATTTTAGACTCATCAGAAAGGAGTACACGGCTCCAATCTTGCTGTGTCCAATTTAAATGACTGCGTGCGAAATGAAGGCGCGCTGTTCGGTGGGCTCGCGTTAGTTTGGGCCCATTAGCTGGCTTGTGTGGTACCATATCGCGTTCTTTTAACCTTCTCCGAACAGTTCGAGCGCTCACAGATACTCCGTGGAAGTCGCGAATTTGTTTTTGTATCTCAATGGAGGTAAGGTGACGATTTCTCAAGCTGGTCGTCACGATGAATCGATCCTGCCTTTCAGTTGTGACCCGAGATCGTGACCTTCCTTGGCGACGAACAAAGCCGCCAGTCTCTAGGTACCTCCGATAAACATTTCGGACCGCAGATCGACTTAAATAAAGTTGAGCACTCACGTTTCTTTGGCTGTGTCCGGCCTGAATAAGTGCCACAGCTTGGGCGGCGACTTCAGGTGAAGTATCCATAGATTATTGATAGAACCTCACCTTAATGTTAAGAATAAGTAATGTTTGTTGCAAAACCAAAGATATCAATACCTTTTTTAAGAATTAAAACCAAGTTTTCTTAGTATTCGATTGTTTGATATCAACAAACAGGCTCCAAATTGTCTTTTGTTTCTTTAAATTCTGTGTTCGAAATTCAAAAAAAGACTATTGAATGAAATTGTGAATGTGCCAGGTTCAAAACTGCATAAAAACTTTTTGCTCGACGTAATATAAAATTTTAGCTAGGACCAAACGAAACTGAAAATGCAAGGTGGGCCAATAGATGTGTCCAGAAGTGTATATAACTAAGGCCGAGTACTTTTACCGATGAAACGGGATAAGGGAGAGATATAAAACAAAGACCGTTAATCTTTTTCTAATAAGACGACCATAAAGTATACAGGCTATAGTGTTGATATCATCACTGTTTTGTGAAAGATGTGGAGTAAGAAAGTAGAAAAACTCACCTGTATCATCTATCCATATCAATCCATACATACTAACATGATAAAAATGAAAGAGAATCACCTATCTCGATAGATTTCATTTCATTATTTTATTAATAAAGTGTGTATATAACTCCAAGCAGGCCCTGCCAGAATATCAGCGTTGGTGCTACACAATGTCTTATCAGCTAATGCTGAGGCAGGGTCCTGGTTAGCCCTTACTGTATAAGTTCCTTTTAACATGTTGTTTTTTTAAGTATAAATAAAAAATATTTTCTTTCTTTCTTTATTTTAAAGGACTTCAAAGACGAAAGACTTTAAAACGAATATTCTTGGACAAGTCAATTTTCAGTAATGTAATTTTTAACAGTTTGGATTTGTATTCAAGAAGTTTGTACCTTATACAAAACTTCTTGATATTTGATGCATATTCAAATTCGATATCGGTCCGTGCTAATGATACAGATTCTAAAGTTATTCATTTTTTTATTTTAAGCATTTAACTGCTAGATGTTTAAATATATCCCTCTATCTAAAACCTGGACCGCTTGTTTATTTTGTAGTAAATTTTTCTTTAGATTTTAAAGTTGTTTTCCAATAAGCCTAAAGTGTTATCAGTGCACACACAATTGAAGCCGTAAATTGTAAACTTGCGTCAGTTAGGCACCACCGCTTCGCCGCAGGTCCACCTGCTCTTACCGCAACTTGGAACATAAATCTCGGAGCTTGCATACCTAATGAATGCAAGCTTCCCACTTTTATAATTTTGTGTTTCTACGAATAAACTGCAAGCGCTACGCGTGTCTTTTGTGTAGGTTTTGGAAATGCGATTAAGGGAGGAATGGAAAATTACAAATTTTCACAAAAGTAAATAAATACATCATGCGGAGAACTCTTGGCAACTGGAAAAGTGATAAGTAATTGGCGGTAAACGCATTGAATCTAATCTGAGCTATTCTGATACGGTACTGGTCACCATATCTATTGAAGATATGAAACTCCTTCTAATAAATGCATGCTTCTCACTTTTATAATTTTGCGTTTCTACAAAGATTACAAGCGCTACACGTGTGTTTTGTGTAGGTTTCGGAATTGCACGTAAAGGAGGCAAGGAAATTACAAATTTTCACGAAAGTGAATACACCATGCGAAAAACTCTTGGCAACTGGAAGAAATGATTCGAAATTGGCGGTAAGCGCATTGAATCTAATCTGAGCTATGCCTTTGATACGGTACGGGCCCCACATCTATTGAAGATA